AATTAGAATGGATTTTCTTTTTTCGTTTTTAATGAGACATAGTCTTTGGTCTGTTGCCCTGTTATCAGCATAGCTCACAGTGACCTCAAACTCCTGGGCTCAAGTGATCCTCTCGTGTCAGCCTCCTGAGTAGCTAGGACTACAGAAGTGAGCCACAATGACCGGCTAATTTTTTGTTTCTACTTTTAGTTGCCAGGCTAATTATTTTGTCTTTTAGTAGAGATGGGATCTGGCTCTTGCTCAGGGTGGTGTGGAAATCCTGACCTCAAGTGATCCTCCAGCCTCGGCCTCCCAGAGTGCTAGGATTACAGGCGTGAGCCACCACGCCCAGCCTAGAAGGGATTTTCTTGAGAGGAGCTACTGCAATTGGACGAGGATTCTAAGGTGGTTCAAGAGGCGGGTCCTTTAGGCACCTATATTTGGGAGAGGGCCTTGGCCCTTCTTCACTTTTTCCAAGTGCTTTTTCAGGTAGCTGCTTGCAGTTGCCCCTTTTCTGAATCAGGTAGCAGCAGAGCGTGTGGACATGGAAACCAGTGCTCCCAGCAAGAAGCCATGGTGGACCGTGCCTGAAAACTTTCATGCGCCAATGGTACTTTATTTGGAAGAGGGCCAGGAGGAGCTTATCTTCGGTGAGTGGCTTTTGCCTTTGCCCTCTCCTTTATCCCTTCTTCTGACCTGCCCCAACTTTCCCACCTCCATCTGTCCTAGTTCTCTACCCCCAAGGCCACCTCCCAGTCCCCAAGCACTGGTGGCTTACAGTCAGTCTTCTCACCTCTTATGCTCACAGGGCAGAGTGACACATACCTTCGCTGCATCGAGGTGCACAGCTACACCCTCATTCAGCTGGAGAGTTGGTTTACACCCACAGGCCAGACACGCGTCACTGTGGTGGGACCATACAGAGCAAGGCAGTGGCTGTTCCACATGATGTCCCGCGTGATAAGCCAGGACTCCTATCGTCAAGCCCAGGGTAGGTATCTGTGGCTGAACTGTGGTTGAGGGCTTACTATCGACTTGGCAGAGTTGCATGGCATCTTGGGTTCTTGAAGAACCAGCTGGGTGCCTGGGAATCCATGAGGTCCCTGGAGTCTTTTGGGAAGGGAAGGGCCCATTTTTTGTGGCATGTATTAATAATTGTTGAGGGAGGGGAAGATATTGAGGAGGTGTAAATAGGTCA